AGACACCTTTAAGGTAGCACTACCAGGATGCCTTCATAACGTCCACGGTTGCCGGTAAGTGGAGTTCTCAGCGGAGCGGTGTGCTGGTATACTTATATTATTAAATTATTATTATTATACAAGATTAATAATAAAAAAAAGCGGTCCCACTTTATATTAAGTGGCCTTAACTACTATGTACTTGCATCAAAAAATAAGTACAATGTACTTATTGTGTTCATATTGTATTGCAAAACACTTTTGCTGCTATTGAGGTGGGAAACGGCTGTTGTTTAGGCAGCAATATGTGTGTAGCCTGTGGAAGTAAGGTTAGCTGCAGCAAGGGACTATAATATTTTTGTTCAATATTTTCCTAATGACAGCTTTTTGATTGGTTTATAAAGGCTATATGAACACCTTTTTTCCCCATTTTTTATTACAGAATCAATCATGTGTTTATTGTCTTCATGTTTTTTTTCTGCTTTTTATTCAGCTCAGGTACAGATAGCTGGATGCTTTTGTCCATATTAGGGTTTCCTGCACGTCATAAGTCATTACTTCTATGAGTCTGTTTTGGACTTTCTGCACGTGAGCGCCCTCCGGCTTCGAGTATGAATTAAACATACACTGCATGAGAGAGTTGAGCGCTCCAGATATTCACTTCTCCTCATTTTGGATACGATGAGTTCCTAGAACTGCTGATTCAACGATGAGGAAAAAAAAGCAGAGAAAAAATGGAGAGGGCAAAAATAAGTCATTATATCCGTTCATTGTAAGTCATAAGGTCAGAATGAAAAATAGCACGCTTCCCAGTGCACAAACATACTGCTGACAAAAACATGTTTATATCTGCAACATGGTTCCACTTGAAGAAGTAGATATTCTGACATGTTTTCTGTGTGATCAATTGGTTGCTATTGTTGTTTGTTGCAGCAGTGGTCACTTTGACAGAGATGAGTCTGTGTGAGAGAGACTGACAGTGATCAATGTTAACACCAAACATTTAGCCATGCATTTTGTTATATACACAGTAAATCAACAAGAGTGCTAACTTTCTCCCAGATAGATTGATGGGGTAGTTGAAGTAGGTGTTTTGGAGTTTAAACCAAGAGAAACCAAAGAGTGCTGTTCAACTTGAGTCAGCTAAAAAGAGAATGTCCCATCCAGCCCTGTAAAAATGATTTCACTGACTTGGCTAAATCCTTCATGAATTTTCTCTCTCCCTCTCCCATCTTTTTTGTTCCCACTTTTGATTTTCCCTGCTGAAATTGCTGATATAGTCAATAGTCATATAGACATGATGCAGAAGATGTGAAACACAGATTTACTTCACTGAACATGCATCCACCTGTTCCTACTACTGCCAAATACTTTCAAACTAGTTCCTTTTTATTAGGTAGTGAAATTATGGCTTTGCTGCTCAGTCATTCTTGAGACATGGGACAAAACAGGTCCAGCAAGGGTAACTGCTATTAGGTTTAAAAATAAAAATATTTTCAATTTTAAATGTCATGAGGGATTAATAATAGAATGTATTTAACACAATTATCACCTTCAATTTAATTTTCTCATTATTATATCAAATCTATGTTTCTTAATGTCCTCTCACTACGTCTAAATCAGTGTGTCCACAGAGAAGGGTTCAATCATTCATATGCAATAAAATGGATAAAAATGTTTTTTAATGATGAAAAAGAGCTTGTTTTATCAAAAGCAACACTTAATAATATCTCCTATCAAAGCAAGGTTGTTTTTTTGATACACATGCATGTTTAATAAGATTTTAAAGTTGCGTCCCCACTTTTTGTCAACACCGTCAGACATTCAATA